GGCACGTGAACTCGGACGCGCTCCCGACCCATAGGTTACTTCTGATCCCCAGCGATGACAAACTAAAAGTTTTATGAAAAAATGTTAGAAACAAAAATTGAGGAACATCTAATCATCTATACTTCTTCCACTGAAAGTTTTTCTCTGACCGAAAAATAAAAAAAATCCTCGCTTACTTACTTTTTCATGTTTGCTTTGAGTAACCTTTTTATATTTTCCTTAATTAATAATTATACAGTGGCATAAATTAAATTATATTTATATTGTATTAAACAGTAGTTTATGTAGAATTTTAATATATAAATTTTATGCTATAAATATTTTTTTTAGAAGCTAGACAAACATGTAAGTGATAGAAGGCGCATCACTTTGAACATCGTCATGCCCCCGACAGTGCCGTGCTGGTAATACCTAGAGTTTGAAACTATTGCTATTGTTGAAATTATATTATAGCACATTTACATACAAAAGAAACTGGTAAATGGTTTTAAATTGTTTAACTTTTTATGCTGTATTATTATGTTGAAGGCTATTTTGGTTGCTGGAATTTTAGCTGTTTTGTTGTATATCAAGCCTTTTTTTAGATATAAGTATTTTTAAACAATAAATCAGACCTTTATTTACTAATGCTATTATTATATTACAATGCATTGGCATACAAATGAAAATGGTTTGATTTATTTGTACTCATATAAAATAATATAATTCTTTTGAGTTATAGGGATGTCTGGTGATTAAATCACAAATTTAGAATATTTAATAATGGACTTTTAAAATAATGGAATTAAGTATAGACTTATAACATTTTCATGATAACTGTTTGATTTATTTGTACTCATTTAAAATAATGTTAAAATAGTATTTGATTTTTATGTTGTATTATTGTTTTTTGTTGTTTAAAAGTTGGAACTAACATAGTGTACCTAAATTTAACCATTTGTCGTATCTCAAGCAGTTTTTGAGAAATAAGCATTTTAAAACGATAAAGTCACACCAGTAATGCATGGAGTTTGTAACCATTACCAACACTGATATTATGTTATAATACATTGTCATACAAATGGAACCATTTAATTTATTTACCAAATGGTATTCATATAAGTTTTAGATTTTTAAATTTTTACCCTGTATTATTGTTTTATATCAAAAGTTGAAATCAATGTAGTGTGCCTAAATATGTTTATTTACTGTATCTCAAGCAAATAGATAGAATAGGATAAAGAGGTGTTTTTGGTGTTTTACCTATGAGAATAACATGGGGAGATTTTAAGCCACTTTTTAAAAAATCGTGCTTATTTATACATTTCTATATAAATGTCCAACTCCAAAAATATTTTCAATCCATATTAATGTCTGTATCATGTGAGATTTGTACCAGTTGGTTTGAAATATTTATAAATATAATGTGTTGCTGGAATCACCTTAAATGGCAAGAAACACATAGTGTTGGGACCTCTGGTAAAATATTGGTTTTTTTCTAGTTTGGATTAAATATTTGTGAAAAATTGAAAAAATATGTTTTTTACTCAACTATTTTAGCGTCTTGAAACATGTATTACCGAGGAATCAGGCAAATATTTCGTGCCGAAATTATATTTTACCTTACGTGAGAACTTGGAATCATTATTTAAACTCAGTCCTGCTCCACAGTATCATTGCAGGCTTGCTTCTTGTCCCAAGTGGTGAATTGTGTACAGTTTATGTGTGGTGCAAAGACTGGGTTTTCTTTTTAGTTGTGACCAGCTCATTCCTAAGATGCTAGATGGTATCCACTTTGCCTCTGAACATAAGCAAATTGTAATCTTCAGTTTAGGACTTAAAATTAATGTCGGATGCGATGCCTCTTTAATCGGAAGTTTGGGTTGTGATGAGCTCAACCCCTATCACCAATATCAGCATAGATCCATTGAACTATTATGTGTTATTGTACTTTGTGCTGATTAATATGTGTTTGGTAAATTAGCATGGCACAACACACAATCCCACATCTTGCTAATCGTAGTTGGTAGTTTAACTTAGCAACGATAATAACAAATTATTATGTCATTGCATTATTATGTCATGTCGGGGGTCTATTTGGTGGTCAAAGTAGAAGTAGGGAGCATTGACTTTCTACAATCATGATGAGATATCCAGCCAGAGCCTCAGACTGTAATAAAAAAATAGATGAAAATGCAAACTCTAAAGGCCCTGACGACCATGTTGTATACTTCCAGGCTGGAACAACCTTTACTTGGAATATTGTATATAAATTGTTTGTATACATAAGACTCTTTTAGTGAATGTACTCTTTGATGAAAATACAAAATAAAGATGAAAACTACTTTATGCAAAGAAGAGAAAGTAATTGTGAAGGGTAGCTACAAACAATTGCATTTTAGTGAGCAATGAAAGTTGCTATAATTATTGGGATTGTTTTGGGTAAGTTTATAGATATGCATTGTGTTTACAGGAATT